CATACACATACACACACACACATACATACACACATACATACATCCCTACATCCATACATCCATACATCCATACATCCATACATCCATACATCCATACATCCATACATCCATACATCCACACATCCACACATCCATACATCCATACATCCATACATCCATACATCCATACATCCACGCATGCATTCCTGCATGCCTGCATGCCTGCATGCCTGCGTACGTACGTTACGTACGTACGTACATACGTACATACGTACACACACACACTCAATACACATTCATCACTCCATCCATCCCTCCCTCCCTCCATCCGTCCATCCATATTTCCATGCATGCATGGATACTTACATGCATGCACACATACATACTTTGATACGTGCATGCACCCCTGCATACATGCATTGAAAGCGTTTTTCTAGTTTGACTGGTATTGTAGATTTTTCTTACGCTATGTATGAAGATGATCCTTGCAGCCTGGTTGCGTGCTTGCATTATTCGGACATTCAGTGTCGGTGTTGTGTGCTTTGGCCTAGGCCCGATGCTTCTGGCATTACTGCAGTTTCTGTGTCTACTCGTATGTGTCTACGCCCTAAGAGCCGTGAAAAAACCCTGAGACTATTGAACTCTGCAGCACTTTGAAAGGAACCCCCTTGAGGGACCCGCTAGAACCCTACAGATAACGCAGGGCCCCGAAACGCAGCCCAGGAAGCCCTAAGCCCTAACCCCCTAAGCCCCAAAACCCCAAAGGGGACCCTAAACCCTAAAACCCCCTAAAGCCTGAAGCCTGTACCTCTGGCAGCCCAGGATCTCCATCGTGGCACAAGGAGGGATCCGACAGCTCTGCGAGGCAATGGCTCGCCACCGAACTGATGCCGAGGTGAACATGCAGGCGCCGAAGCGATGGGGGGAATAAAGAGCGAAAGAAAGAAAGAACGAAGTAAGGAAAGAACGGAAAATCTAAGGAACGACATAAAGAAAGGAACCCAGAACATGAATACAGAAGTAGTTCCACAAAAAAAGACACATAGAAAGGCACACAGAAAGAACGAACGAACTAAATCAGCAAAGAAAGACACAAAGAACGACAGACAGATATAAGGAAATAACGCGAGACAGACTGAACCAAAGAAAGACAGATATAAGCAAAGAGCTCATGAACGAGAGAGAGAGAGAGAGAGAGAGAGAGAGGCAGAGAGGCAGAGAGGCAGAGAGGCAGAGAGCGAGAGAGAGCACGAAACAGAGAGAGCAACGGAGAGATAAAGAGAGACAGAGAGAGGGAGCAAACTACTCAAAAATGGCACTTGCGAGGCTGTGGCGGCCCTCTGCAACCTCACCTCTCAGCTGGCGGAGAACAAGCGAGCTATCTGTGAAGCTGGCGGGTTGGAGATGGCAGTGGCCGCTTTGATGGCGCACCCGCAGAGCCAGGAGAAGACCTTCAAAGAGAGTCGTGTTTTTTTCGTGGGCTTCTCGCAGGATTTGGGATGGTAGTGGGTTGCTTTCTTGCGCCAGGAGCTGCAGCAGCAGGGCTGCGGGCTGCTCCACAATTTGGCCTGCGACCCACAACTGCGGCCTCAGGTCAATGCAGCTGGAGGCTTGCGGGTGGCTGCCGCAGCCATCGAGCACCCGGTCCGTGCCGTGCAGTCCCTGGCCCTGATGCTTCAGAGGCAGCTCCAGGCCCGGCAAGAAATGCCTCCGCAAGCACAGGAAACGCGCAAGCCTGCAAAGACCACAGCCTCGCTGGCCAAAGATGCCTCGGATGGCGGCGTGGACGAGCTCTTCGCGCCGCGCACGCACACGGTGCGCGTGGCGCGGAGCAAGGCGCTGACGAGGCCTCAGCGCAAGGTGATGGCCGACGTCATGGCATCGATGCAGCAGAATCCTCGTGGCTCGCCTCAAGTGTAAGACATTGTAAGACAACAGCTACTATATTGTACTAATGTAGTGTCGTGCAGTAGTTATGATGGACAAATTTACTCTGTCAAGTACCAAGTCCCTAAACTCTAAACCCTAAACCCTGAAGCTTAAACCAGCAGTGAGAAGTTGAGTCTCCAAGCTCGAAGCCGCCTCTCGCTTGAGAGCCTTGGACTCGCCTTGTACTCTCCTCGAAAGGCCTTAGGGTTCAGGGCTTTAGGGCTTTAGGGTTAAGGATAGACAGTCAACGGGAGAACTTCGAAACTTGTGGCCTTGCATATTACGTATCTGGTCTATCTTAGAAGGTTTTGGCCCGGTTATTGAAGAAGCGAGAGGCGAGTGGCTGCCCCGCGATGGCTCCACTGCGGGTAGCAGTGCTTCGGGTGATGACACCTCGAAGGCTTCTCAGGCCTCCAGCGCCGCCCGGGCTACATCATCTTGAAATCTAGTCGATTCTGTTCTATTCTACTCTAGTCTTTTCTAAGTAGTCCCGTCTAGTCTAGTCTTGTGTACTCTACTCGACTCTTTTCGGTTTTGTTCCGTTCTATTCTCTTCTCTTCTATTCTGTTCTATCATATTCTACTTTGTTTTACTATGCTGTGTTACGTGATGCTATACCACATTAGAATATGTTGTGTCACAGTATACTATATCAAGCAGTACTTGATTGTATTATATATGGCAGTACACTATATTATATGATGTTATGTTCGCTACAGCTTCGCGGGATTTGAGTTCGAGTTGTAGTCCTTCGCCGGGATGCAGGGGTGAAGAGCAGGGTGTGGAGGATTTCTGTGACAAGCATCGGAGCCTTTGCATGCTCCGAGTGAGGGTTTAGGGTCTGGGGGATCTGTGGAATTGAAGTGGGAGCTTCACAAATCAAAGCACCCTAACCCATTATAGGCATAAGCAATCTTAAACAGTATCGAGTCGCATAATACTTAGAACAAGGGCCCTAATCTAGGTAGAATGTAGATAGCATAGCCAATGCGAAGTAGCATCCTCCCTGTACTAAAAACCCCTGAACAGAGGGACCCCTGCTTTTCTGAAGCCCGATCCTCGGACCGAGGCCAGCGGCGGTGGAAGATGGACGCTCCGGGAGCAGCAGCGCGCGGCATCCTACGGCATTGAGGCCCCTGGGTTTGAGGGCGAGTCTGGGCCCTGCTTACATTAGGGTTTAGGGTTTAGGGTTAAGGAACTCAGTTGAATTGAAGTTGCTGTAAGAGGGATCTGCAGCAGATAATATGGCCTAAACCCCTAAACCCCAAAAACCCCTAAACCCCTAAAGCCGGATCACAGGACCTGGAGGGCGTTTCGGACAGGAGCTCCGAGGATGGTTTTGCAGCCCGGAAAGGCTGCTTCGACAGCAAAGGGGGAGAAGCTTAGACCCTTTTTGGGCCTGGGTTCGTGGAAAACAGAGGCAGCCCCAAACCCCAAACGCCAAGCGGCCCTAAACCCCTAAACCCCTAAAGCCTATACCCGGCGGGATCCTAGGCTTGTCCGCGTGTGAGTGCTGAAAGCCTAAGCCCTAAGCTGAGGCTATGGGGGAGCCTTTGCTTTTGTGATCCGTCGTGGCCTGGATACCTGGCTGCGCTTTGAGGGTTTTTGGGTTTTGGGTTTAGGGTTTAGGGTGGTTGTTTTGGGGTTTAGGGTTTAGGCAGGATCCGGAGAAAGGCTCCATGGTGCGTAGAATTGAAGGGGATCTTGTATCGTGTTCACACTCTTCATCTTCTTAGGGGTTGGCAGGATTTCTTTGGGCCTCGACGTAGCTTGGAGTTGTAGCTGCACGGTCATGGCCTCCTGAAGCTCGGGATGACGAGTTGATCGATTTTTTTTGCAGTCTGGGACGAGTCCACAGCACAGTCGGCGCCTCGGTTCCCGGCAGATGCATAGCAAAGGTGTAAACAAGGGGTTTAGGGTTTAGGGTGTGGAGGTTTAAGGTTGTTAATAATTATCGGAACCTGATTAAGATATCTTGGGTCTTTGTTAGCGTTCTGTATCGGGATCTTAATGTTTTTTGGAGGGGTATAGGACCAGGGTTTCTTAATCAAGCTCCCACATTAGGGTTCAGGGGTCATTGGGGTTTGGGGTTGGGGTTGTGGGGTTTAGGGTTGAACCTCAAAACTTGTAGACTCTAGACCCTTGAGCCCTCATTCCTAGCCTCCCCAGTCAGAAAGAACCATGAGGTAGTTCTCTAAAGTCAGGTCCCGTTTAGTAGCTTTCTGTAAGGGTGCCGCCCCAAACCCTAAGCCCCAAACCCTAAACCCTAAACCCGACGCCCCAAACCCTAAACCCTAAACCCTGAACCCTAAACCCTGAACCCTAAACCCGAAACCCTAAACCCTAAACCCAACGCCCCAAACCCTAAACCCTAAATCCTAAACCCTACAAATAACCTTGAACCCCACCCCCCAAACCCTAAACACTAAACTCCAACGCCTTGGGGCGTTACCGCTACGGCTGCTACGGCTTCGAAGCCTTAGGGTTGAGGCTTCGGGGTGTACTAAGCATATTCGGGGAAAAAAATTGCCCCAATATATATATATATATATAATATTGTATATATATATATCCCAGTGTATGTATACATATATATATATATATGTATATATATATATGTATGTATATGAATGATTATGGTTTAGGATTTAAGGCGTAGGGTGTTGGTGGGCGAAACCCTATAAACCCTCAATTAACCCAGATCGTCAACCCCAACCCAAATCCTCAGAAGGTCCAAACCCGACAATTTGGAGCCCAACTCTATCAAGTCCCCCTCCGAGCATTCTTTTTTGGGGAGATGGCGGGAGGGTTCAGAAACTACAAGATCTTTATAGTAACTTTTTAGACAAGGACATCAGGGCCGCTCGTTATCGGATCCTTGTGTAAGTTAAGGTTCTACCACTTGAATAATTGGAATCTTTATTAGGATCAGATGTATTATTATTATTGTTATTAGGATCTCTCATGTCCGAATCTCTCCGATGTTTTGAAACTCCCATTTGCAACACGCACCTCCACGTAGCCCATCTGCGCTGCGAGGTGAATGGGTGCCAAATAGAAATCCACGCTGCGGCCCTGCAACAGCTTTAAATTTTATGTGCTGTTGAACTGTGACGCCCACGACCACGAAGACGACGACTGCCAGCTCCACAACCACTACCCCTACTGGCGCTACTGACCATATCACAGGGCCCAATACCCCTTAACGAAGCAACTTACCTGAACTTATGAGGGACTAAGTATTACATGTCATGCATGAAAACATATGTATATAATTATATATATATATATATGTATGTAGATGTGTGTGTAGAGTCATACAGATATGCATACAAGGTCTATCCCTGTATCAAGGGCATTCGGCTCTCTGCGGGACCCTATGCCAGAAACGCTAACCTTTCGGGTACCGACAAAAACAGGGTCCTAGAGCCCCTGGGGCCCTGTATAGAAGGCACCTGGAGGGTTAGGGAAAAAACCCTAAACCCTAAACCTTAAACCCTAAACCCTAAACCGTGGCTATCTGAGGACCTCCGGGTCGGCGTAGCCCAGGAGTAGCAGCTTGACGATGTGAGCATGGCCGGCCCCACAAGCCTTGCAGCACTTGGCGGTAGTTCTCTAAATTCGGGTCCCCTGTTAAGTCCCCAGTATAGTAGGGCACCAGAATAACAAGGCCCCCCCCCCCCCCCCCCCGACCCTATTCCGTTNNAATGGGACGCTAATTTAGAGAGCTACCCAAGTGGGCTTCAGGGTTTCAGCACTTTAGGGGGTCAGGGCATGGGGTTGTGGTTTAGGCGGTTCAGCACAAGTTGAAACTTTAATTTAATGTTTAGGGTTCAAGGGATAGGGCTTAGATTAGAGGAGGCGGCTAAGGAAGGGGGCCCGTCTCTTGTAGCAAGGGGGATTCAAGGGGCAGGTCTGGGGTGTGTCTGTGTGTATAGCTGCGAGAAGGTGTGGGACTTGGGATGGGGTTGAGGAGCCCCTTCCTGGGCTTCCGGGTTTGGGGTTTAGGGTTTAGGGGTTTAGGGTTTAGGGGTTTAGGTTTAGGGTTTACGGGTTTAGGGTTTTAGGGGTTACGGGTTTAGGGTTTAGGATTTAGGGGTTTAGGGTTCAGGGTTTAGGGGTCTCGGACATTTCGGACTTCCAACCTCAAGCCAGCAAGTTTTTTTTCCGATGCGAACTGCCAGTTGGGTGCTGGGTTGGAAGAACCCATAGCCACAGAGGAAAGAAGCCGCCAAACACACCCAAGCAACCGATATCTTTGCCTGGTGTGCCTGAAGATGCTAGTTACAACGTCATATTGGGGTTTAGGGTTTAGATATCAGGGTTTGGGGTTTAGGGTTTAGGGTTTAGGGGGTTTCAGAGGACCACAGATTCAGCACCTTTCCAACTTCAAGCTTTCCGATGGGAGAAGCACCGGTCGCAATTGTGAGGTCCCCAATGTGCTTGTCAAGACATCTTCAAGGCACCCCTTGGGGGATAACGTAAGCCTTATGTGAAGCTGAGAGCAGCTCGGCAACATAAACATCTGTTTTGGCACAAGAAATGGCTCGAAATTCCTCAGCCCCTTACACCGCAAACGACCCAACCCTAAACCCCTAGCCCCTAGCCCGCAAATCCTAAACCCCTAAACCGCTAAATCCCTAACCCCTAAACCCCTCAATTAAAGTCCTTTAAACCCTAAACCCTGAACCCCAAAGCCCTAAACCCGACATCAGAAGGAAAAAGAAAACCACAGGGAGTAGTTTTCTACATTAGGGCCCCTTCTTGGGTCCCAAGACTAGTACGGCACCCTTACAAAAAAGACCCTAAAAGAGACCCTAATTTAGATGACCACCCATGCAAAGTTCTGGGTTCCTTCAGCGTTCCTTTTAAACGGTTATTATAAGGAGTCGTTTCAGGGTTCCTTCCAAGGGTGATTGGACGGCTTCCTTTAAGGGTTCTTTTCAGGGTTCGCCGCTCTTGAGGGTTACA